ATTCTCCTGCTTCCACTATCTCGCTCACTCACACACCTTCCATCCACTCACCCAGTTCCCCTCTCCTCTACACCCAACGCCCCACTCCGTCCTCCGCAGGATACTACTCCCCCCCCTCGGTCGCGTCTCAGTATGACTCCCCTTTCCAAGTGGCCGTTTCCCCGACACTTCGACACCCTCGCCACAACCGTCCAGAACCCATGACTTCATCCTCTACGCGCCACTCTTCGCTCTCCCGAATCTCCACCGCATCGTCCTCGTCATTCCCGCAAGCCCTCTTAAATCCCGTCTCTCCTCAAAAGTCACCTTTAGGCGGACTCGAGGCCCTTGTCCAGGCCGCAACAGTAGAACGTGATAGGCTTGAGGCCAAAGCCAATCTCGACCGCAAAGGAGACACTTCGCGCTCCATGGCTCGACGGAGCCCTGAACTCATCCGTCCACCGCAGGAGGGTTCTCGGATCCACCTCCAGCCCCCCGCACCGGCTACCCCCGTTACGTCCTCCCTCATTCCGGGAACCCTTCTACGCGACTCCTATTCAGAGTCGTCGCTCAGGATGGGCCCCGGTCCCGGTCCCGAAGCCCATCCTGCCAAGCGCCAACGTCCGTTAGACCTCCATTCCGGCTCTGACCACAGCTGGGGTTTGTCTTCGCCCTGGGACTCCTCGCAATTCAGTGGGCTCATGGGTCCAGGTATCAAGCCTCGCAGACCGTCCTCCGAGGTTCGTACAGAGGTACATCCTACCCTTCCTGTAACCTCGCGGGATAAAGAGGAAGCGAGCATGGCGGGACGACGCTTGTCGCCAACAAGGGAGCGTCCGGCAAGAAGGCAATATATAGCAGAAGAAAGGTCTTTTCCATCCCACGTCTCAAGTCATCGCGAGTCAGTCATTTCCCCAGTTACCACCTCTGATGACAGGCAGCATGTCGTCGTAGCCGAAGAACCTCCGTCGATAGCACGCCAGGTTTCACAACCGAATGTAGACCTGCATCCACCACCGCCGGGGATCTCGCGTTCTGATCTGGTATTGAAAACACAGAGCCCTCCTCCGTCCCTTCCGTCTCCTCGGGCTTCGTTCACTCCCTCGGAACCACCAGTGCCGCCGGCACCTACACAACGGCAGCAATCACCGCCGCCTGGAAAGGAAGATACATGCAGTGGTCTGCATGCACACCCTCCCTCGCTTAGCGATATCTTGGCTCCTGTGGCCGCGGCAATGCCAAAGTCCCTTGAACCGGAAAGTAGTACTGGTGAGGAGAATTCGATACACCCCACTACCCCAAGGGCCTCCTCCATACAGGAACCCTCAGCAGCATTGGTTGAACCCTTGCCACCTGACGGCTTGACAGCCACGGTACAGGATAGCCCTCTCATTCTGGCATCGCCATCGACACTAAATGCCCATGGTGATGATCTGGACTCTGCAGAACCTGTTGAGCCACTATCGCCTACGTTACCTTCCCCTGAAACGCATAATACGGACATTACTGTGACACCCCAAGGCACTCGGTCACCATTAGGAATCTCCAAGCCTAGTTCGCCTCCTCTTGAAGATGTTCTTCATCCACCGACCACAGAACCAGAGGCATACCCTCCTCCTACCACGGCTTCACCATCACCACAGGCCCTTTCCCCTGCTGCTCCTAGCCTTCAAGATGGGACCAATGATGATCAGCTAATGGAGATTCAGACAACTGCGCCTTCTGGGACCAGTACCAATATGCCAGTTACAGACCTTCAGAGCCCAGTGGATGCTCGAACTTCGTTCACTCCACTTACAGAGCCTGAAGCAGTGGAATCTCCCGTTACCGTCCCACAAGCTCCGGAAGTCATACCTCTTCCTATGGCGGACGCCCCGCCTAGAATTGATGATACACCAATTGCAGTTATTGATGACGAAGGTAAAAGCGAGGCTTCCCTGGAGGCGGGTATTACGTTGGACTTCAAACAGAGCCAGATTGCTGAACAAAGCCCTGCGGACATGGATGTCGATGAAGAACTTCTTAGCCTCATTGCTGACGATTTACCGTCGCGTAGCTCTCGCACCATGCTGAGGAAACAAGAACTCTCATCCGAAGATAAACGCCCCCGTTCATACCTCGCTCCTTTTAAGCAAGAGTCCGCGATGGGTACACCGACTTCATCGCAACCGTCTCCTGCCCCAAGTTCCATTGTTTTCAACCTAGAAACAGCTTCTACACATTCTCCGGACCCACCCGCGTCTGCTCGTGAATCTGAAATGAGCACAGTGAAACTTGAGGAGCGTCCAACTCAGAAAAAGAAGGTGATTCAATCATTTTTTGCCTGTGTTCGTTCTCCTGACCTCCACAAGACAAAACAACATGCACAACCCAAAAGTCGTCCTAAACAAGGCGGTTCGGCAAAGACAAAGCTTAAAATATCCCCCGATGGTCCGTCGACAGCGCCGCTGAAAAGCAAAAAGTCATCAAATACTGTGACAAAGAGATCAATCATCAGTGCGCGATCTAGGTCCACATCGGTCATGCCTGTAAGCATAACTCCTGCACCCGGTGCGGAGAATAGAGCGCCAGGTGAGACCGAGCTTGAAGATATCGAGGATGGGATGGAGGACAAGTTGTACTGTGTCTGCGAGACGAGATATGATGATGAGAAGGTCATGATTGCTTGCGATCGGTGCGCCCCTGCCAATAGTTCGATTGCGATCTGCTCTTATACTATGTCCTGCACAGTTGCGACGAGTGGTACCATACATCGTGTGTCAACATGCCTGACCAAGAAGTTGACCTAGTCGACCAATTCATCTGCCCACTTTGTGTGGAGAGTGCGTGTGCCCGATTGTTATTCTACAGCTGTACTAATTTGATGTTTAGAGAACCCTCACCTCGATCTGCGTACGACCTGGAAACGTCGCTGCCTGAATGGGCTCAAGCAGCACAACCCAAACTCTCCTGATTCGTGTCACAAGCCCGCACGTGGGGCCTTCTCCAAGTACTGCTCCGATGAATGTGGTGTGCAATATATGCACATGCGCATATCTCTCTGGGTAGAGAACGGTGGGCAGCGCGATCGACTCTGGGAGACAGTGAAAAATGCGGAGAGGCGGGAGGGTGTCGTGGTGTCGGCACGCCTCTTTGAGGCACAGTCTCGCTCACCAACAATCACTGGTGACCAGGCAGCGTTGCCTGTTGTCCCACCCAAGATCAGCAAGACAGATCGCGAACTCGCAAGGCTGCGGGCGCGTCTCGAAACAATGGTCCAGAAGCGCGAGGCGCTGAAGGCCGAGATGGACGTGGTCGCGTGGCGCGAAAAGGTCACTGAACTCGCAATACAGCATGCGGAGACAATTGAACAGTGTGGGTGGGACCAACGACTGTGCTTCGGGGATGAGGAGGTGGCCGAGTTTGGTGCAAGTGTGCTAGAGAGTTATGAAGAGAACCACAGTCAAGCAGATGTGGACGGGACGCAAGAAGAGGCAGAATGGTGGTGTACGGGAAAAAAGAAGTGCGATCGACACTCGGGGTGCGTCTGTCGTGTGTTTTCGAGGTGGTAGGGCACTGATCAGTTCACGGGTCAACTTAGGTGGCAAAAGCTGCGCGTTGCCGACGTCGAGTTTGACAAAGAGACGAAGGATCAGGCATTACAGAAGCTAACAAAGCTAGAGCGCGAGATTCGGAAACGCGTCGAGGACATTCTCGATCCCCATGCTCATCCCGACAAGGCAAAGATGCTCGAACCTACTTCACCTCGGGTCCCCGTTTTGTCAAGGACAGCCGTCAATGGACAGCCGAAGCACAGGCCCAACGGAGATCACACGAAGAAGGGCAAGAAAAAGAAGGAATAGGGTTGTGGATCCCCCGGTACCCACATCCGTTTGCTGTTGGCGTCCTTCGAGGCCGAGTTGCACCAGATCGTACCTGGAACCACGGTGTGATAAATGACCTACGTATAATAAACTACAGCAACTAGCGACTGTCCCCGCTTCCATTGGGGCTTAATGAATCTGCCGGAAAGCGGGAATTTCATTGTGATGGACCTCAATAACCATCTCCCTCCCCCCCTTCCCTGCAGAAACCTTTCTGCTCGTACAGGATTTTCGCCTTTGCTTCCTCCCTCTGCTTTTTTGCTGCGACATCTTGTCGGTAGTAATCGTCGAGCTGCTTGTAATCAACTTGACGTAGTGGGACATCGTCTTCTTGATCCAGATCCTGTTTAGCAGTCATCAATCATCAAAGTAAGAGACGGGTTGTAAGAGAGAAAGAGGGGGCACAATTTCTCCTAACAGGACGACGTTCTCCCCTCGAATAAGGAATAGACCACACCACTTTTCTGCAAATGTATTGCCGGCGTATATGCGCTCGACCGTGTCCTCGAGAACGAGGTTCGCTAACCAGGAGAGGGAGGGATGGGACACGTTCAAACTTTTGTGGCGAACACAATTCGCGAGAGAGAAAGAGACGCACCGAACTGGTCATAAGAGCGCAGCACGCCGTGGAGCTTCCGGCCATCTCGCAAGACTACGAGCATCTTTCCTGGGGGAAGGAATGGGCAAGAAAGGTGCGGAGATGCGCCCGACTGAGCCACCAGGCAGTGGGGCTTGGGGCAGACGTACTGTCCACGCAGTCTACCAGGGAGCCGGAGGTTGTGAATGGAATTAGAGAGTCCATCGGGTCACGATTTGCGTCGCTGTTACGCTAGTTCCGGAAAGGGGCGGTTTGCTTTTGATGCAATTTGATGGAGGACGGGTGGTGTTGTTGTTGTTGTTTGGAGAATGGGAATGGGGGAATGGGACAGAGACGAGAGACGAATTGACTCGTGGTCAAAGTCAGATCAAGTTAGCAAGGATGCAGGTACTAGGCGGGCTCAATTTGAGCGAAATTCATGCAGTTGGTTCTGTGCGTATTTTTTTACTAGGCTTTGTTTCTTCCCTCCATCTCCATCACTTTACTACGGACAGTTTAGCTTATCATTGGAAATATAATGCAGCTATATATGAATGTCTAGTTCAGGCATCTAATGGTGTGCTGATATGGCCGAGTCGTTAAGGCGAGTGATTTGAATGCATGGCTGCTTTGCCACCTTGCGCAAATATCACTTGGGCATTGCCCGCGTAGGTTCAAATCCTGCTGTCAGCGTTTTTTTTATTTCGCCCGACACCTCGAATTTGTCACACGTGCTTGTGCTTGCGGTCACACTTTTTCGGTCAGTACAATCATCTTGTCTTGATTCCCCAAAATTCTACGGATGGCAAGACCAGCCTCGAATGACATACATACAAAGGAACGTCATCTCGGAAGTAAATGTAAACCAGCTCGAGATTCACCATTCACGACGACGCCCTTCACTAGTCATCCAGATGGTTTTTTTGACCACATCTCGGTGAACTTCCTCCGGGCAAAAAGTAATTCTAAATCGTCCTCTGTGTCGGTGTCTACGGATGCAATGGTTCTTGTAGACAACAGGTGGTACAACCATACGTTGGGTAGACGATGGACATCAATTTTGTAATTATTTCAGCACTTGATATCGGTGGTGTCATGAACTTCTTTGGTGAGGGTCTGCTGACGTGTGCTCGTTGCACATGCTCTCTTCCTAAGAGTACACACGTAGCCAACGCCTGACCATCATTCCTGATTATGGTGTCCAGTGTGACGTCTACGAAGCAGTTGACGTTTTGCCAAAGTACTCCCACTGTCCGGGCTCCGGCATCTCTTCGAGAGGTTCCCATCTGCCCGCAGTTAGCCCGCTGCAGAGATAATATACAACGACGAGGAGCGACGTACGCCTTCCATTCTGCCATCTTGCCCGCCAGACTGAGCTCGTCTTTCGCGATCGTGATGGCTTGTTCGATCTCTCCCTCGTCCAGCTGCTTCTCGACCTGGGCGACGTCCCCGTTCGCGTCCTGCACAATCTTCAACCTCTTCAGGGTGAGGGCTTCCGTGCCTTGACGATATGCGGCGTGCGCGGGGATGGATGAGAGCGCGGCGAGAGTGGACTCGTAGGTCTTGGTCAGCTCCGGTAGCGGATTGGGGTGGACGGGGAGGCCATAGAGGCCGGTGGATAGCTTGGACACCTGAAGTAGCGGCCGCGTGAATCGAAACATCGATGCCTGCTGCTTGGCTGAGGCGTTGTTGCGGCTTGTGGGCAAATGTCTGGTCTGCAGGATGCCCAGATTTGTTGCTGTCGGAGTTCAAAACGCGCCAAAAACGCGAGTTGAGTGTGAGTGGAGGCAGAGGCCAATATTCGCAATCATGGCCGCTGCCACTATCCCTCGTCATTTTGCCGCAATATCTTCTGCATTATTTGCCCTGCCATCTCCCGCCATATTTGGGTCATCATGGTCGATACCACTCCTTCCTTCCCTTCGCAACCTCATCCCGCCGTTCCTCCTCGCCGTACCCAAAAAGAAGGTCTCACATTCTCGAAAAGCCATGCGCAGTGCAAACAAGGGCCTCAAAGATAAACAGAGTGAGGGATATATTTTCTGGTGGGCACCTCTATCACGTTCTCAACGACCTCGCAGACTTGGTACATTGTCCTGGATGCGGTTCGGCAAAGCTCGCGCACCATTTATGTCCTCATTGCTACTCAAGCATCAATCGAGCGTGGAAGTCGAAGCCGAGAAACGATGGTTCGGCGTCCATGAGCGAGTGACCGATTGGTTGTCCTAGCAGCCAAGCCGGGATTATTGTTCTCTGCATGCAACAAGTTGTTACACGTTACATCTTGACCTGCTCCCATAGTTCGTGCTCGGTGCATGCTAATCGGCATCACCATACGGGCACGGCAGGTGGATATAAGGAATAGATATACATCACCACTGGGGCGAAGTGGCTCACATCCCAGCTCCCTGTGGTCAAATATATTCCCTGACATAATACTCTACTATCTCTCCCCAGTCACTGAGCCCATGAGTCCAGAGCCCAAACCATATACACGCAAAGGTGAAGCCGTAGATACACCCCACGATCACTTGCGGCACAGTGTGGTGCCCCAACAGTATTCGAGAGCCGGCAACCGTGCATGCCAATAGGATCATAAATAGTGCAACAAAGGGACGAAGCAGAGGGCTTTCGGGAAGTGATTCATGTAGCGGTAACCATGCACACGCAAGAGGAATGTAGGTCCCAAAATAAGTGATAGCCGTGGAATGCGTGCTGGGCATTCTAACAGGTCGTAGCGTTCAAAAAATATCCGAATCGAATGGTAAAAATTTTCCGCTACTTACCCGTACGTTTCCTTCCGCCTCAGCGGGGTGGTTTGCACGGGACGGGCTTGCCGAAGGATTGGCTTGATGAGTTTAACGGACACCATGCAGGCCACTGCTCCTGCACAAAAATAGCCGACGCCAACAGAACGTGTATATAGTAGCACGAGCGCCGTCGAGGCCGTCACTGCGTGGTTTATCTAGGAGACCACAAGCATCAGAGTCGTGCCAACATCGTCATCGAAATACCATTTCTAACGAACCCGGTCAAGAAATCGTAACGCGAACCCATTGAGAGAATCGCTGCGTGAACCATTCCGCATATTACCTGGGTATCTGGATGGATGGAGGTGGTGTGAGGGCTGTCAATGACACGTGCAGCTCGTGTCTCAAGTGTACTGTAGGTTGCATGTAACCGTAACCAAGACAAAGTCCAACTCGTTGTCGACCCCGATTAACGTCGATTAACAGTAGAGAATGTCCTCTACACAGCAGTAAATTAGGGTCGGAGGCGCGTTGTTCCACTGTTCTCTGCCGGGCCTGGGTCAGCTGGGTGTCCCACATGCAGACGGCGCAACCGCACTAGACCCGCTCAACCAAGTGCGGACTCGGACAATGCTGGTAGCATAAGTGCCGTCCCGCAGCGGGTGACGTGGCATGGAATTTATCCATAGGACGACAGAGAACCGGAGAACCAATCAATACTATCCACGCCCGAACTTAGTGCGGAGGCATGAGACGATGTTGTGTGGCGTTCGTTTAAGTTACTTCCGATAAGAAACCCATGTTGTCCTCGTACACTGGCATTCTCGTCTTCTTCGTATCTTCGGCGCTATATGTATATTTCTCTAGTAGGGCGAGCGACCCATATGGGACATTCCATATCTCGTTCAACAGAGTGCCTGGGAGTCCGGATGCTCCACGGACAGAATGGCTGAACATGGGATACTGGAAGGTGCAATGCACCGCCACTTGCTGCTGACCGTTTCCATTGACTCATGGCGTAGGACACCACAATCTTCCCAAAAGCGTGTCAAGGTACTTCTTGAAGTCCCCAGCTTCTTTCACAGAAACTCATAAACCTTGTAGCCCTGGCACTTCGACTGTTTCGGGCCGCCGCCCTTAAGCCCAACGGGCGGGTTCTAGGTGGACCATCTTACGGCGTATATTGCTGCACCTTTTTTCTAAATCATCCGACAGACGTTGGTCATGGCAGCGGCGATTCAATCCTCCTGCAGCTGTCCCATCCAGAGGTAGCCAAACCGGCCCTGCTATGCGGGATAACCAGTCTGCCGTCCCACCACCGCCGCACGAGAGAGAGGGTGAACGATTTCCTGTCCTCCGCTGCGGCGCCGGACATGAGACCAGACGTACTTTTATTCGAGGGCGACGCCGTTTGGAGGTCAGGCGATCAGGAACATCCGCTCTCGCCCCACTCTGCGCGCGAGTTCGATAGCATCCTTGCGCTCGACTGTGCGTACCACTTTGACACCCGCGCGGAGTTCCTTCGTCAGTCCTTCCAGCGCCTGGCACATGGTGGTTCCGTTGCTTTAGCAGACATCTGCTTCTCCGTCTCACCAGGCTCGATACTCACGCATTTTCTGTCGGGCGTGCTCCGCGTCATGCCGAGGAGTAACGTGGTGACCAAAGAGCAATATGTGCAGCAAATGCATGAAATAGGATACGGGGATGTAGAAGTGGAGGATATCACACCTTTCGTCTTCCCTGGCTTCCGAAATTTCTTGAAGCAGCGGGGAAACGTGGGTAGTATATTTGCAAGATTGATGGGGTGGTTACAAGGGCAAGGGTTGTGTTTTGTGGTCATCAAAGGCGGAAAACCGTTGGCCGAATGATCCAGAGTTTACACATTGACGCCCCCGCGAAAGTGTGTTACAGTTCTCGCGTATTCGCCGATTACACGACGGCATAGTCCTTAGCTTGTCCCCTAATCTTTAAGGCGACCAGACCAGATGAGGTGTGCACGGTCAGGTGACGCGACTTTTCAATTTGCTCTCCACGGCGCATTCAAGCGCACGATACGCACTACTCGACCACAATGGCACCAGATGACTTTGTCATGACCCTGGACTCTGAAGAAGAGTCCCCAGCTGATGTTGTCAGACGCTCGAAGCCTTCAGGCCCAAAAGATGCGGACGAGGCGCTGTTGGACCCTGCATTCACTTTTGATATGTCTGGAGATCCATACGCCGACCTACTGAACGAACGGACAAACTTTACTGACGTGGTAAAAAGTGGATCGAAACCGGTGCGCCCATACAACTCTTCTTCTCTTCCTGTTCACTGGGTAATGTTTGAGTAGGATCCAATATCCGTAGATGATATCATTGCGAGACGAACGACCCGTAACGGCTCCCAGAAGCGCAAGCTCCACGAGCTCAGCGACGATTCTGATGATGGAGACGACGGACCGGAAAGCCTCGAATCCCGCCAGAGGAAGACACTACTGATGAGGAGGCCGCTGTTCTCGGATACGGCGAAGCGGAGGAGGGTCAAAGCGACGATGATCCCCTAGCGACATCCGACGACACCGGAAGCGAATCTGAAAATGCGAACACTCAAGAAGAAGAAGACGAAGAACCCCAAGGCGCGGGCTCTTCGTCTGAGGATGACAGTGCATCAGAGACAGAAGCCCAAAAGGCCAGGAAAAAGGCGTTCTTTTCTTCATACGCTCCCGCTTCCGAGCACCACGCATCATTTCTCACTATGAATCTGTCCCGGCCCATTCTCAAGGCCTTGACTTCTCTTGGTTTTCACAACCCCACTCCCATCCAAGCCGCCACGATTCCAGTTGGTCTCCTTGGAAAAGATGTGGTTGGTAACGCTGTTACGGGCTCCGGGAAGACTGCCGCGTTTATCATTCCTATGATTGAACGCTTACTTTATCGTGATCGAGGCAAAAAGGCGGCA